GCAATACTCGTCCCGGCGTTCTCCCCACTAGTCCCAGCTTTATGTGGGCATGCTAGCCTCTTGTGACCAACATCCCCGCATTCGTAGCATTTCATGCTTCCAGTGTTAGCATAAATCATATATGCCTTTCCTTCGTGTAACACTCTAAAAGACACATCTAAATTTGGTTCTTCCAAAAACATGAACACCTGTCTTCTGAAAGACATTACATGTTTTAACGCTTTGTTTTTACAGCCGAGTGGTAGCATTTTTATCGCGCTAGCAAACTTTCCATAACGTGAAAGTCCTCGCTCAATTTCCTCATTCGAAATAAACGGAGGTACATTAGATACAGTAACTTTAGTTGTTGGAGCAACAAGTGGTGAAACAACAACAAATTCTCCACTTACCACAATTCCATTGGTTATCAGGCGGTTTACTTGAGCCTCTTCCTTAACAAACACCACCACAGCTTTATTCATACGAAAAGCCGATGAAATATTCTCGTACCCGATCTCCTCTCCAACAGCCATCAATACATCCTCCACAGTCACACCAGCTGCAGCCGCAGGAACACACCTGACGCCGTGACGAAGGGCAACAGGTGGCGCTACCCCCGCGGAGCGGGACGCCATCCTGATCCCAAACAAATCTTAACCCTAAACCAGTATCTCACACAAAAACTATGTTCTTCTTTACATTCGAAACAATTGTTGTTTTAGAAACCGGAAAAAAAAGAAGTAAAAAAAGTAGAAATAGACAGAAAAAAAACCAACAGTCACCCACTCCACGTGGGAACCCTCAGACGCCCAAACCTCTCATCAGAGAGAGAGAGGCGGGGCATAGAGGACCTACAATAATGTACAGTATTTGAAAAATAATGTGTTTTTTGAACATTAAAGCATGTCAACATATTCTGTTACACCAAATACACAAAATAATGATCTTTAAAAAAGCATCATATGACCCCTTTAATATATGTATTCACATATATCCAGTTTTTTTGATTGTGGTCATAGAATGAGTAAACATCTTGATGGTCACAATATATAACAGTGAACTTAGGTATACAATATAAATCCAATTGCAGTTATTAGTGAAAATTACACTAACATGTTGCAATGACAAAATATTGCACTAAGTTAACCCTTTAGAACCTAAAGCTAAAATAGGCTGTTTTCACTCATTATGTTTTTTTGAGTATAAAATTATAACACAATGTGATATCTTCAAGTGCAAGGTGTCATTTTTTTCAGAAAATTATTGGCTTTCAGGACATTACCGTTATTGTACATTATTGTGTGTGGTGAGTTAGTAAATAGAATTTAAATAGACAAAAAAATTTAAAAATGGGAAGAAATTGTACTGCTTTTTATTTAGAAAAAATCAGAAAACTCATGAACGAACGAATCGAATGCCTCAATCTTGAAAAAGGGACACTGGATTGCACAGTTTTCACTCAGGAGCCATTTGTTTTACCCCAGTTCTCCAGGCATTTTTGGATCCTTCAATAATAAATAATGCTAAATGGGTACCCTGTGCATGAAAAAGTGACGCCAAAGGGTCCTGACCAAGCGATGATATGTTACGAGTTGGGACTGAGAATGTGTTGTAATGAAAGTTGACAGAATGTGAGAATTTGTTTTGTTGTTGCAACAAACGAAAGTTAATGATGGTTTATTAGTTGTGATAAAACATCTTCCAAACATATCTGATTTCAAATTATTTTTGATTGCTAATGACATCTATGTTTTCTGTTTTAGATCCACCAAAGAGTGTCTCAGTGTCCATCAGTCCATCTGGTGAAATAGTGGAGGGAGATTCAGTGACTCTGAGCTGCAGCAGTGATTCAAACCCACCTGCAGAAATCAGCTGGTTTAAAGGAGGAACGATTGTAGGATCTGGAAGAATCTACAGCATCAGCTCTGATCACAGTGAAGAATACAAGTGCAAGTCCATCAATGAACACGGAGAAAAAAACGCTTCTACTGTGAGGCTCACAATCAACATGGATTTCAGAAATCAGACGCTGTTGCTGTCATTGTTAAAGGTCAGGTAAATTTAAAAAAAAAGGTAGGAGAAACAATAATATACAGTATGTGGAAAATAATGTGTTTTTTTAACCTTAAACCGCATAAACACATTTCATTACACCAAATACACAAAATAATGTTCTTTTTGTCATCATATGGTCATCATATGACCCCTTTAATAGCTAGCGATATCGTCAACTTGATTGCACAGATACTATTTAAACAGAACTGAGCTGGATGATGACATCATTGAATTCAATGATGAACTGCCTTTAACTAAAAATTGAGTGTTTACTATTATCATTTTGCATTATTGACACTCTATTTTCTGTAAAGTTGCTTTGACACAATCTGTATTGTTAAAAGCGCTATATAAATAAAGGTGACCTGACTTGACTTTAAATTTGATTATGCTGTTTCACAGATCCGGTGCGATGGTGGGTAAATCAGTGATTTACAGCACAGTCAAATGATCCAGGACCCGTCAAATAGATTGAAAATTAAGCTGGACTCCAGTTAAGTGTAAATATATTGCAGATAATGCAGCTTTGAACCAGTTTACAATAATGTTTATAATAGTGAATTAAATGTGTGTCAAGTCATATGACATTTCTCCCTATCTGTAGTTGAATAGGAAGTACTGGTCAGACGTACCAATACCACAAACTAGAAAAATGTCCATGGTGGTTATTTACATTGTTGTACCTAGATCTTTTTAAGACTGTGGTTAGTGGTTTGGTGCGTCTGTGTGGGAAGTTACAACCTCAACTAGCTGCATTTAAACGCCTGTTGAAACGCTTTCTGTTAATAGCATGTTTTGTAATGTTTCCTAAGATTTGCGTAATTTTCCATTAACTGCAGTTTCAATGTTATGTGTTACTCTTTAGTAAGCATCCGTTTTTGTGTCTTTTTCATATTTCATAAAACATGTTTGATGCTTTGACAATTTCATGCATGTCTAATATATTGGTTTATTTTAAGATTTTAATAGTTTTTAAAAGTTTATAATATCATTGTATGGTTTTGTTGATTTTCTATGGATGTCTGACGTTAGAAATACTTGAATTTGTTACATTTTTATGTGTTGAATGTTGATGGTTTTGTTCTGTACATCAAATTGACAATATCTGCACAATTTCACCTCATCAACGCAGATGACATGATTTTGAGATGCTCCTCTTTATTTGATACATTTAAACAGGAAAATACTGGACATGAAAAATCCCTTTTTTCCGTAACAAGGTCATGTGATTGTGTGCCTTTTCTAAAGCAGAGAAAACACTAATGCGCATGTGCAGAGTACAATACAGTTGTCACAAAGTAAAATAACGTCATGTTATCGTGCACTTTAAAGTCAGGTGGATTCTGATTGGCTGTCAGTGTTTTTATCTTCATCATTTAGGGAAAAACATCATCCCAGTGATATCGTTCCTCTGTGTTTAGGGCTGAAACGATTAGCTGACATTATCGACAACGTTATAAACAAAATATTTTTGTTGGTGAATAGTATTTTGATTTGACCTAATGTAAGGGCCTGCAATAACGCAGTTTGACCATTGTGGTGCTGTAACGAAACACTGTAATTCAGCCCTCCTGGACAGTAGCTGTATTATCATTAAGTGACATGGCATCTGACGCACGGAAGCCACTGGCACATGCCACTTTTGCTCAGTGGCACATCCGGTGACACTTCCGGTTTTCACTGACATGTGTCAATGGAGAGTGGCATGTGACGTGCCGATGGATTGTGTCAGTGACAGTGTCACCGTATGTTGTGGTACCTCCAGTCACACTGCCGCTGTCACCAGGAGTATACCCAGTCAACAATTTGATTTCACAGTGATCTTACCATGAGCTGCAGGATACTCGTGATGAGGTCACAATGTAAGGTCACAGTGAGCTAAAAGTGTAACCTCACAGTGCCCTCAATGTGTGCTCAGACTTTGGTCACAATGTGAGGTCAAAGTGTACTCACTGCACAGAGACTAGGTACCCAGCATGTATTGCAGCATGAAGCTTTTGATTATCACAGTCATAGGTGCCGATCCACGGAAATGAGCGTTTCCTTTAGATTGGCAGGTTTGAGTAGGGATGTAACGATTACCGGTTTGACGATAAATCATTATAAAATTCCCCACGGTTAGTATTACCATTTCATATTTAAATTATCATTATAACTGTATTCGATTACCACGATTTGAACAACTGATGATAAATAAATACTGTAGCATAAAGCACAGTTTTAAGTAACAGTCTCATGTGCGCACATCACGCAGAGTAGTTTAGTTTTGTGTGAAAAGACGGCAGAAAAGCTGGGAGGTTTTAAAAGAGTGCTAAGGGCATAGGTGCCGATCCCTGAGCACCCACGGAAAAACACAAGATAGTCTCCGTTCATTTTAACCAATAAGAAATGGATTGCTGCTTGTACGACTTTATTCTCGTTTTCATAGTGCATTTGAGGCAGTTTTTGGCGTTATTTTAATGGCAAATGTCGAAAGTGCATTATTTTTATCGGAGAGGGCACCAGCACGAATCTCTCAGATTGCAGCGGGCTTGCTCTCCCATTTAGAGATCATGGCTCTGCGCTCCCTCAGATATTACATGTGCTCCCTCAAACTTTGTCCTGTGTACGCGCGAATGAGTGCTTATTGTAAAAAGGTATTTATTATATAATTTTATCTAGTGAAGCACACCCCTCATAGAAAG